ACAGAAAGTAGCGCTGAGACTGTTTAAGTTCAACCAAACATCACATGGATTTATTTTCTTGGTTTGACACTCAGGGTGATGATTTCATTGACATCCCAATTAATTAGTCTAATAATGTATTTGGTGCTTGAGTTCTACTTCCTGGGTTACTCTGTAGTGCTGACATCTTATGGAGGAGCCCTGGTAGCATAATGGTTATGCATTGGGTTGCTATCCGCAAGGTCCAGTTTGAAACACCACCTTCTTGGAAGAAAGACAGACTTTCTTCTGTAAACAGCCCCAGAAACACAAAGGCAGTTCTGCCCTGCCCATAGGATCGCTATGAGCTGACATTGACTTGATGGCGGTGAATTGATTTTTTTGTGGGGGTGGGAGTGTTCTTAAGACAGTTGGTCTCTATTCCTCTGCAGCAGTGGTTCTCAACCTTCGTCATGCTGCGGCCCTTCAATACAGTTCCTCATGTTGTGGTGAGCCCCAGCCATAACATTATTTTCATTGCTACTTCATCACTGTAATTTTGCTACTGTTATGAATTGTAATGTAAATATCTGATATGCAGGATGTATTTTCATTGTTGCAAATTGAACATAATTAAAGCATAGTGATTAATCACAAAAACTATATAATTATATGTTGTGAACTATTTATTTCTAATGACAAATACATGAAATTTTGTCTTGAAGCCTGTTGTAGCATGGATAAAAGTCTTCACACTGGCTGGGTACTCCTATGTGGTCATAGCTGCATGTGGGCAGACTGGCCTGGAGAAAGATAGAGGAGCGGTGTCTCTGTTCTGTGAAAGGGTCGTCTGCCCCCCCAAAGGAGTCGTGACCCACAGGTTGAGAACCGATGCTCTGGGGCAACAGAGGATGAAGAGTCCGTAATTGGAGGAGCAATGTGTGGCTAATTACCTCTGAACAACCGTTTCCATTGCTACAAGACATTCGATGGTGCCTAGGTACCATTGCTAAACATTTTAAGTAAAGATTCTATAGTTGAATTTTAATCAAAAGGCAGGTAATGCAGAACAGAATTTTAAATCCTTAGAAATCATGAAAGTTGGATGAACCCCTGAAATTGTCCTGTGTTAATAATTAAAAACATTTTACAAAAATTGATTTCAGTAAAGGTTTACACAATTTAGATCCCTATTGCATAATTTTGCACAGATTGTTCAGTGACATTGGTTATATTTTTAACAATGTGTGAATATTTCCATTTTGATTATGTTTCCATTAATCTAATTTTCCTGCCTGATAGGATCTTTAAATCTTAAGCATCTAACAAAAAATATCCCTAAAGTCTTCCTAAAACCAAACAAAAATTTAGCCTAATTTGTACACAATGTGTGCCTTGAGCATTGTACTCTTTTAAGATCTATCTGTATGGGATCAAATTGACACTACCAACTCAAAAGATTAGATGGGAAATTTAGAAGACAGTGACCTTATTTTAATGGGAGAAAACTCAGAAAAGGAAAGTGATAATGCTTACACAACTTGAATTTAAAATCATTCAATTCAATTTAAAATCATTGCATTATGCATGTAGAAATTTTTGAATAGTACATGTTTTCTTGTATGCTCAGCAACAATAAAATTTAAAATTTTAAATATGCAAGAAAGCACATACATAAATAATTACTGTTATGAAATCTAGGACAAGTATATTGGACAATAACTGGATTAATAGGTTTTTAGGGCAATGTCAGGGGAGTCTGGAAGGAAATGGAGAGCTAATAACTAATACAAGAATGAAGAAAATGTTCTAAAATTGATTGTGGTGCTGATCATACAACTTTTTAAAATATGGTTCACCAAATATTTCAAAATGTAAAACGAAGGCTTTTGAGCTTGTTTACTCATGACGTACATCAAACAAAAATAAGTGTGCTTTGTAATAATTTTATATATATAGAGTGTGGATTATGTGTGGGGCCGCTGACAGTCCAGCAGTTCAAAACCAACTGCTCTGGGGAGAAAGGTGAGGCTGTCTACTTCCAAAAAGAGTGGCCTTCTCGGGAAACCCACAGAGGCAGTTCTACTCTGTCCTAAAGGGTTGATGTGAGTAGGGTTTGTTTCAGTTGCATTCCAAGTTTTGCTTTTGTTTTCTAATTTTTAAAATTTTTTGTGGTAAATCATTTTCCAATTCAATATTTTTACATGTAAAATTCAATTACATCAATTATTTTCATATTGCTCAATCATTACCATATGTGTCCTGTTTCTTCCATCACACTTAACAGAAATGGAATGAACCTGAAATATGTACTCTCCTCTCTCCATCTCGCGCCCCCCCC